ACTTGAAAAAGAAGTCAAAATTGAAGAACAACTATTAGATAGAATGTTTACACTTATTAATTATTTATCTGAACAAATAAATAATGTCAAATGAAATATAAATTTCTTGGAAGAAAAGTCTAAAGAAAAACATGATAGAAAAATATGAAAGATAGAACAGTTTGAAATTAGAGACAAAGTTCTAATTTATAATATGAAATGACATGTTGAATACAGAAATAAATTCAAGTCACAATAAAAAGAAGAATGATACTATATTCATAAGACCTATCAGAATGAAGCATATAAATTATAAAATCAACAAGAACAGTTGCTCAAGAAAATATTTAATGGTGCACAATTAAAATTATATCACGAGAGACAAATCTTATTTGAACTCAAAGTAATAATAGAATATATCAATCCTTTACAAATTCTTTTTTAGATAGAATTCTTTTAAATTATATTGTAATACATTTAATTATTATAAATAATTCATTTATTTTCTCTCAAAGTTTTCAATGATTTGTTATATTATTTTAAATTTCTTTTTTAAGTTTTCTTTAAAAATTTTATTTATCAATTATTTTCTCTTTTAGATTTATGCATATATATTATTATGTCTCAATTATCAAATTGAATTGATGATGTTATGCAATTATTAAGTAAGCTGATTCCTTTTTTTTGCCTACTACGTAACTCATTAAACAGATAACCGTAAACTGTCAAACAACGATCTAACCAAAAACTACTCTGTCCATGATCTTACATCTGCAGTTGCTTATTTAATGGATCTACATAAACCACAGCATTTTCTACAAGTTTCAAACAGGTATCTCATTTAAAAATTTCTATAAAGAATATATCGATATAAAATATTAGCCTTAACCATCTTAACCATAAAAAAAATGACGACTTTACTACGGCATGTATTCTAAATTTGGTTACAACAAATATTCATATGGTATTGTCCCATGTATGTTAATGACGGGAATGGTGGCGTGGCACCTGTGCCATTAGAGGGTCTAATTGAAAGGAGATTGGACAATGACAAAATAAGGATAATGAAAACCCTGTACGATAATAGGAAAATTAAATTTATTGAATTCGATTTTCACACTTCTCCCCCTCTTCATTAATTTTTTTACATATGGATAAGATAAAACAATGCATATATATATGCAAGTCCAAGAATTTACTATTTAATTGTAGCTTCTCATTCGTACCATCAGATAGAATAAGAACCTAAAAAGAACCGTCGTTCCTACGAGAATTCCCTGTGAAAATATAGAAGACGCATAAATCAGTATTTCACCCAATTTTTCAACAAATCAACAGTACGATCATTGAAACTCACTGCCGACACAGTCGGTGAAATATCCTCGTATCCAAAATCCGCTAGTACAGATTCACCAGTAAACGATCCGAATTGTCCCGTTTTGTCACCATAATGACAATTATACTGATACGACATTTCATTAGTCTCCAGATTAAGGAATGTTAATTTCTCGCATTCAAACACAAGTCCTTTCATGTCATTGAAAATTATTGCTTGAAACGCGTATGTTTGATAGTCGGCGTAATATAACCATTTCCAGATCTTGGAAATGCTGTTCGGTCGAACAAGATATCCGCCAAAAGTCATCAAAACTCCGTTTGCGAATGAATTTATTGCGAGTACGGCAACAAATATCGGAATAATTGATGCAATGAAAATAACAATCGACTCCGCAACGTTTAAAGTAAGAAACAAGTATATAATAAACATAAACACGTTTTTCGAACCACTGTTTAAACCGACAGTTGGATAAAATACTGCGGTAAATGAGAATGAGATCAAAAGTAGAAAAGGTATCGATACAATTATATTCGCTAAGACATATGGACCGACCGAGTAAAATCCGTTTCCACGTTCTCGCTGAAATACTAGCCGCTCTTCCAAGTACCCTGGGATACCAGCAATAGCCATGAATGTTAAGAAAGCCACGGCAAAGTATTGAGACGAAAGACGTTCAATAATGTTTATTTGCCTATAACCAATTTGCCAGAATGTTGAGCCTAATAGCAATCCTAGTGCTGCGTACATTATCACTCTTATCCAATACATTAAGACATTTCTCGAAGCATTAATAAAGGCACGTCTTAATAAGATTCTAGTCTGATCGAAGAAATTCAGTTCATGTTTTTTCTTTATACATGTACATGTAGTTGAAGATATACATGTAATTTGTGTGTGTGTATATTTATGCTGTTCTACCAATAAATGGATTTCATCTTGAATTTGTTTGTTGTTACTTGATCGTTCGAATGCATCAATACAATCATCGACAATCTTTTCCACTTGGGTATTATCCGTTATAAAATCCGAATTGATTAAATGAAGAAAATAATCTGCTGGATTCGAGTACGCTGGCACCATGTGCCCTAAATCTCTGAAATATGATATTGTTTTTTTGCGACTGCCCATGTAAAGATTTCGTCCACGGCCAAGAATACATAGTTTATCGAATAGTGAATATGTGTCGGTTGATGGTTGATGAATACTAGCAATCACGATAAGTTTATGACTCCGTGCCATATGAACAATCGCTTTCATCACATTGTACGAAGCCGCGGAATCGAGACCAGTTGTCGGTTCATTGAGAAAAATAATTTTTGGTAAATTGATTACTTGGGAGGCGATTGCTGCTCGGCGTTTCTCGTCGCCTGATATTCCTCGCATAAATATCGTCCCGATTTTTGAATCTGCAACGTGCTCCAATCCAAATTCGGTAATGGTAGCTTGAACATATGCTTTACGTTCTGCTACTGAGTATGACTTGGGAAAACTAGAATAAAATGAATATTTAATTAACACTAATGTACAAGTAAGTTTGCCAACAGAAGACATATATTCACCATAAATCGGCAGCGAATTGAATGTTTTCACGGACTGTCAATGCACCTGTCAATTGTTAGATTATAAATATTTATTTTAGATGAATTTATCAAAAAAAAAACTAGCGTCGCTACAGAATATTTCCATACCCATTAAAGCATCATCTTGCATAACATATGTTGATATATATTTCACTGGACCTTCATTTCCATTTAGATAAATTTTTCCAGATGTTAATTTAGGATCCTTGCGACCTGCTAACACATCGAGCAGAGTTGATTTACCGGCTCCCGATGGTCCCATTACTAAGAAAGAAAATCAGGTTAGAAAAAATACGGTCTAGCTGTCAGCTAATGTCTATCATTAATTTCTCTACGTACTTGCCATTACTTCGCCGGGTTTGACAATTCCACTCAGATTATGAATAATATCTGTTTTTTGCTTTGTCTTTGAATCCGTCATTGTATAAGAGACGTTTTTCCACGCAAGACTCACACCGTTTGTAACTTGACATTGTTCTTAAAAAAAAGAAAATAGTTATCAACACCATAATTGTTTCAATTGAAATTTCTTCGAAATGTTAATATACCATCTTCATCTGATATCAAACTTATATCATATACACTGTCAAAATCAGTATAAAGTGTATACTCTGACGTAGAATTGTTATCTGGTATGAATTGACTCATATTATTAGATGGTTTGACTTGTTAATTCGAGGTTTGTTCGTTATTATATGTGTTTTGTGACTCTGCGCATCTCATCTATAAGCTAATTATAGTAAACCACATCCACATAATGATTTACAACTTTGAATTTTGTTTCTAAATATATTCACTATAAAGCTATACACTTCCACCATTATATTAAACAAAAAGAGACAGCAATGTTAATTGACTATGGAATAATAGTTTATAATGAAGAATAGTCAACTTTTGATTCGTACGACCATATTAAAGTTCAATACATTTAACATATTGTCAAAAATAGGACACTATGACGATATATTGTCTGACCTCTATAGTCACACCACTGGTAAAAAAAAATAAATAGGTGGTTATAAGAGGTTGTGACTATATAGAGGTTTTTTTTTATAGCATTATTAAGTATTGGTTCTAAAGGGATGTGACTTGTGATTATAGATTAATAGGTGTTGGTTTTATGAAAAGCGTGCTTATAAAGAGGTTTTTATATGAGGGGGTGACTATAAAGAGGTCAGACTGTACCAATACAATAACTAATTAAAATCTCAAAGTGACACTTTTAATATATAAAATTTCTCTGGTATAACAGTTTTAAGTGGAAATCAACCGATTCAACATATTAACAGTATGTCGGATTGTTTGACACTAACAGGACAGGACGACCTCCTAAGGTGCGTGTCACGTGGTAATTTGTTGACGACATTAACGATGCGAAAGGGTTAGGTCTGGATCTGGTCATGGTTATTTGGCAAACAAAAAAGTACATATAGTAAACTTTCACAAGAACCATTTTTTGTTAGAACACAAAAGATAGTTTCATAAGCTAGATCTTGAGATACAAGCATTTTGTCAAAAATATGCCTTTGCTTTTAATTTTTTGTTACACGTTGATCTTGCGATTTAATTGGTCATCATCGCTGACATCATCAAAAATTATCACATGACCAGCACTTTAGAAGTGTTGGATTGTTTGGTTTCTTCTTTAATCGCCCAAGTTCTCGATATTTGCAGGGTGTTTTAATTATCCTGCCCATATCGCTATATCGGAGGTTTGATAGTTTTTTGCTTACCGTTACCATTTCGAGCTATCTTGCATGCCTACGAATTAATTAAAACCAATCTGTCAGGTTACCTGCCTGTCTCAACAGATGTAACGACAACGATAATGTTAAATTTGGATCAAAGTGTTTTAATTACACCGTCTTTAATTTATTCAAATCAAATGTTACTCATCGAGAACTGTTATGTGTCATGACGTCACCGATAGTCGCTTTTGTAAGAAGAAAGAGAAGATTTATTGATTTAACGCAAAGAACCCAACAGCAGCCTGTTTTAACTTGTAACATTGGGTTGTCATTAATCCATTCTTGAGGAATAAAGATTAAGTTTATTTTAGAGAAGTTTCCAAATTCATTTTCTCGTGGTTTCGTGTATTATTTACAACAAATAAATACCGATACTAGCTTAGTTTTTCGACTTTGCATAATCTAGAGTAAATCGCTCATCTGTTTAATATGGTGCCTTCTAATGATGAACATATACTTATTTAGAATAAACGCCATATTTTAAAGTTTGAGGTCTAAAATACCAAGTCTAAATACTTATATAAATAAAATTTTATAAATAAATTCTAATCCCATAATAGTAGCTCAATTATAGTCTGCTGCAATTCAGTCAATTCGTCGAACATATCGACGTTCTCGTTGCGGCCATCATTTTCCTTAATATAGTCACAATCCGCAATTTCTGAATCAGATGGGTGTAAATCTTGATCATGCGAACAATTTTGCATCGTTTGATTATTCTGCACAGAAATCGCTGGATGCAACCAAATTTGGTTTTCACTTTGATGACAACAACATTCACTGTATATTTTCAAATCAGTATCATCTCGATTTTGAACGGAAGATTGTGAAGATGAAGATTGAGTTATATGGCAGTTGCTTGATTCACCGCTATCCTCATTCATTCTTGCTGGTAAAGAAGACGATGACGCCTCATTTTGATCGATTTTGAATATTTCATCACAAGTTGGATTATTTGGATCATAAGGTAAAGAACCTTGGTCAATATAAGGTGATGATGAAGATTGTGGCATTTCTGGAGAGAAAATCGAGGTCATCGAGTTCGTATTATATTCTCCGCAGGATGTAAAATCAATTCCGCACGTATTATTATCGTTGTTGAAAGTGCCATGCTTCTCATTATATTCAATTTGTTGTGGTTCTAATTGTTGTTGTGATTGAGTCTCAAATTGAGCATCGACGGTCTGTTGTTGTGGTTTCAACGACACAATCATCCTGCCCCAATCTTCAAAATTTAATTTAGGCATAGAGCATTTCAACGCTTTAGACTTTGAAAAATTTAATTATTGAAAAAAATTAAAAAAATATTTAATTAGAACATGTTTAAAATATCAGCATGTATTACCAATTTGCCATCATAAACCAAAACACGATTGAACCGTTCAAAATACAGTTTAGGTAGATTATCAAGACCGATCGTGCTTTCATTCTCTTGCAGCAACCTTTCGATCTTGCATCTAGTCAAACGAAAATTAATTAAATCGATAAATCCTGCTTCCTTCGCAGCAACAATTGACTTGAAAACATGGCCGCGTGATTTTGATGGTCTATAATAGACGTGGTCAAAACCATCAAACATGTCGAACTTGCGTTGAGCATATTGGTTTCTTTTTGATCGTTTTGAGGAATTCATTTCTTTGGTGCAGTTAAAGAACGATGATTTGTTAATTGAAAAATCAAAATCCAAGTAATTTTATATTTAAAAGCTAATTAGGGTTAACGTTAAGGATTAACAAGTATTTCTGTACCGTTTTTCCCCTTTTCAGAATGGCTGATTGATAAGATATTGATATACAATGCTGATCAACTGATCTTTATCGTTATTGTCTGATTTTAATAATGTGTGTACATTGCAACAACTATGTAATTGTTTCGAATTTCTTTGTGAAATAGCGAAATCTAGACTTTAACAGGGCGTAGGATTGATTTTACTGTCACATGACTTACGAACATCGGGAATCTGTGTCGTACCTACATTTTGTGCAACAAATTTTTAATGCCTAATAAAGTAATTAAGGGGTAGGTTTCTCATACATGTACATGTATAATTGTATGATAAAATTAAGGGCAGGGTTACTATATAATTGTGCTCTTCTGTGTCATGTATGATAAAAATAGAATTCGAGTTGCGCAAATTTAAGATCATATAATTAACTATCGACATTCCTGAGATTTCTTCCAAATCTTGCATCACCCTTTTCTCACATAAACTTTACATCGATATAGCATCAGATAAAATCAATCATCTCACATGCCAATTTATTCTATTATATTCTTTTTGATTTTTACATACTCCACCAATAGTCAGTGATTACTTGTTCTTGCGCTCCTTCTGCAATTACAATTATATTACATGAGTGAACTAAAATGGAAGAACCTGGACGAAGAGGTTTAATAATCACCTCCTGTTTTATTAATTTTTTATACACAACAGGCTTCTCGAGTTGAAATTAATGATCTACATTATTCCATAATGTATTCAAATTTAAAGCTCTGTTCGGGTCGGGTTTGATCCGAAAATCGTAAAATAGTTTTTCGTTAATAGCTTTTATTTTCACTAAGACACTTGTATGTTATGTCTTAAGTAGAGTTGTTCGGAATGTAATTGTATATATATTCACAAATTTTCGTTTAATTTGAATATGGAACGAGAAATAATGATTTTTAGGCTGACCGACCCGAAGTGTGCGGTTCACGGATTGGACATTATTATTTATTTTACATTAATAATAATTCAAAAAAAGATTATTATTACTATAAATATTAGTAATATATATTGTTTTATTATAAAAGAATAAGTTATTCGAATTATTTTTATTTATAAAATAATTATATAAATAAATTTATAATTACTTATAAATTATATGAACTATATTATTAATTTTTTTATAATTATTAGTTTATATTATAAATTTTTTTATAATTATTATTTTATATTATAAATTATATAAAATATATTATTATATAATTATTATTTTATATTTCAAATTTGTAAAGATCTAGAATATAATTAGTTAGTTTGTTAATATTTACTATTTAAATTATTATTTATAACAATACCAAGAATTATATTATATTCAATAAGAATAAGTGAAATTTTAATAATTGAGCTAATTAATTAATTATTATAGTTATTTTCCTTTTTTTATTTTATATTAAGAGATGTTTCTATTAAATAATATTTAATAATAGATTTAGTTCATATGAAACTAATTTTGATTTTTATTATATATAAATTCACTATTAGCTTGTAATATATCCTATATATATTTCAAGAATTATCAAAACTAATTAAAGTATATAATTGTACTTGTTTATATATAGAATACAAAGCAAATGCAATACTATTTTTTGAATTTCTTGAAATTAAGTTTCTTGTTTTTGAAAGTATTATTTCTTTTTATATTGACATATAAGATCACATAAATATAATATAGCTAGGTATTCTTTTTTATTAATATTACTAACTAGATTTGTTAATACAACAAGTTAAATAATTAATTCTAACTATCAAATTTTTATAATATGCTTTAGTAAGTGGAAATAACATAATTATGTTATTTCCACTTAATCTAGAACAATAGGATCACATGTGCGTTGTCACTCAAGTTACAAGTTTGAATGACTATAACCTGCAAAGATATGACGCCATAAATACAAAAACTGTCGTCACACTTGGTTATCCTAGTACCCAAGCCATGGCAAAAAAAAGTACGGTGCACGTGATTTGAAATGGTCCATAAAATATCCGATTAATATTAGATATCAAGTATTAGGGTTAGGGTTAGAGTTAGAGCTGAGGTTAAGGTTATATATGAAATGTCATCCCGATATTTTTTGATAGTGCGCCAAGCTAAATTTGACATCTGTTTTTTGTATTTTTCGCATTTTTTGTCTTTTCTCATTTTCTTGTGCCGGATTTGTTTTGTCAGGTTGATCAAAAATTTGCTACATTCCCTATTGGTTGTGCAGAATTTTTGCACATTCTTATTGGTTGGATTGATTCATCATCACGTGCATCATCCTTTTTTGCCATGGCTAGGGTACTATGGTTACCCATGGTCTGTAAAAATGTCATGATAAATTTGTATTTGTGTCAGTATCTGAGGAGTGCCATGACTTAACAATCAGTTGATTAATCACGTCATCATTCGAGACATCAATGATGATTCCATAACGATAACAAATTTTTTAGGTGACAACTAATTGGTTATTGTGTCATTATTCAACCGCAAAAGTATTACAAATGCTGATCAGGATACCTTTAATAGCTTCTATATCGGGTATTGTATGTTCATAAACTTTCACGTCCCAAATAACTAATTATATTTGGGACACGAAAAGTTTATGAACATACAATACCCGATATAGAAGAAAGTTTATGAACATACAATACCCGATATAGAGTTATAAAAGGTATCATGATCAGCATTTGTAATGTTCTTTGTGCTCGGAAAAATTTGGTGCATTATACATGATCTACGAAAAGTTGGGGGAGGGGAGGTTTGGATAATTTTGCGGTTGACTGTATCAAGACGCACAGGTACGAAGTACGGGGCATCCAATATTCCATAGCACAATGCATTCAATTAATGCTACTTATGGTGCTCCTTATAGTATACTATCTGTATATAAACAACATCTTTAAAATATAATTCAAAAAATGTCTTACACTCAAACACTCTCATCACAAACAATAACAGAAACAGAAACATCACAAGAAACATTTCAACAAATTCGACGGAGAAACTATCCTTATGTGATTAACGGGAATGTTGTATGGAGCGCAGAGGAGGAAGAGAGAGTAAGAAAGATAATTACTACTCGAAGTGCGGTAACTACTGCTTTCCCTGACCCACCACCACCACCTCCAAGTAATACCGGAACAGAGAATCAAGATCCCGATAAACCACCATCACCACCTCCAAGTAATACCGAAACAGCGAATCAAAATCTCGATAAACCTAATAAACAATGTACTTTCTGTTGCATTATTCTTTGATTACATATTTCTGAGTTTGTATAATCGGGATATCCACTATAATCTTCTTCCATAATTATATAAATATTTCAGTAGCTATATACTTTTTATATCTGATTACTACTACATGTACATGTATATCCCAATAAAGATCTCCATAATTTATATGAATATTTCCGATCATAATTCTGGTCACATGGGACGATATTAGATTGCATAAAGTTACTTGAATTGGTTACCTGTATCATGTATACTAGATTCAAATAAAAGACGTGACCTCTAGTGACAAGATGTGATTACTTATTTACTAGGAATACTATTAAAATGGATTTGATTATTTCCTAAAAAAATTTGTCATATGGTGCATAAAATCTAAAGTTATTAAATATTTGTATTTTACAAAATGTATAAACTTCTTTATTAAGAAATTTAATCCATAAATATGCTCAAGTCTATTTATCATATTCATGAATTAAATTTTGTATTTACTTACAGAGGCCTCCCAGAATATTGTGGACACTTTTTAAAATGCAATAATGCAAAAACTAATAAAAAAGCAAGATTTAT